GAGGCTTAAAAGTAGAATTTTTTGAAGGAAAAGCCTAAGTGATTGGTAAGAATGGAAACACTCTTCTATCTGATCAGAAAAAAGGAAGACTGTACATGATCGAAGAAAAGATGACAACTGCCTACGTTATGAAAACTGAAAGTGCCGACTTGCTTCATTGAAGACTTGGTCATCCACATTCTTGTACAACAAATAATATTATCCCCATCGGAAGAAGCCTGAAATCAACAGTATTAGTAAATGCACCTTTCCAAGTCTGTATCCAGGGAAAAATGAAAAGGAAGAAATTTCCAAAGGCCGCTAGTACAAAAGCTAAAGACATCCTAAAAGTTATACATTCAGATGTTGTTGGTAAAATTTCTCCCCCTTCCTTTGGAGGCTCAAATTACTTTGTGACCTTTCACGAACGAATTTTCTCATTAACCACGGCATTCTCTATGAAAGCCAAAAGCGAAGTACTAGAAAAATTTTAGGAGTACCGTTGAATGCTAGAAAATCTCCAAAACAGAAAAATCAAATTCCGGAGAAATGATAATGGTAGGGAATATATAAGTGAAAGGTTTGACAATTACCTCGCTGCGCATGGGATCCAAAGACAGCTAACTGTATCTGATACACCTCAACAAAATGGTTTCGCAGAAAGATTGAACCAAACATTGATAAACACGACAAAATGCTCACTTACCGAGTCCGGAGCAGATCACATGTTTTGGGCCGAAGCAATGGCAACTGCGGCCTCTCTCCACAACAAGCGCCCATCTATGGCAATTGATGGCGATATTCCAGAGGAAAGATGGTTAGGGTGGGGAAGCAAAACAGACCACTTCAGAGTTTTCGGATGCAGAGCCTGGAGCCATGTTCGCTCACACTCAAGAGGAAGCAAGGTTGATCCTAAAGCCACAGAATATGTTTTAGTGAAATATTCTAAAGGAGTTAAGGGCTACAAATTGTATGAGCTAAAGAAGAAAAATTTTTTTTGTTAGCAGAGATGCCATTTTTGAAGAAAATGTTTTCCCCTTAAAGCTAAGCAAGTGTGACAGTCCTTGGACCCTTGGACCTATCTGAAACAGAAGCTCATGACTCATCTCTAGATCACATAATTCCTGATGTAAATGACTCGGATGAAACCCAACGTCTAAATACAGATCCGATTGACCAAAATTTTGAAAGATGTCCAGACGTACAGCTTGAAAATACTCCAGATTACGAAGATGAAGGCAATCAGTTATACAGATACAAGACGTTGCTAACAACCTAGACCCTAAGTCGAAGCAGCAGCCATAAATCCTACCCATGGGAGTGAGAGAGGTGAAAAAAGGAACACCAGAATTCCTAAACATTTCAAAGATTTTAATCTCTACGATGACCAAGAGATACAACAATCTGAAGAAAAGGACACAGTAACTCTAAAAGATATCCTGAAATCACCCGAAGCTGACATGTGGTTAAAAGCCATGGAGAAAGAAATTCAGAACCTCACTCAAGCTTAAACCTGTGAACTAACTACGAAACCACCAGCAGCTAAGGTAATACCATCCAGATGGTTGTTTCGTAAGAAAAAAAGTCGAGATTGAGAACCGAGCAAAGTTCAAAGCCAGATTGGTGGCAAAAGGCTATTTGCAAATACCCGGAGTGGAATTTCAAGACACCTTTTCACCAGTCATCAAACTTAAATCTATAAGGTTATTGCTTGCCGTAGCTTCAGAGAAAACAAACCTAGAGGTTTACCAAATGGATGTGACAGCTGCATACTTTAATGGAATTCTAAAAGAGGACATATATATGGCACAGTCAGAAGACTGCATTGAGAAAGGGAAAGAACATCTTGTCTGCCACCTGAAGAAAAGCATTTATGGTCTCCGACAATCAGGACGTGCATGGAATACCTGCTTGAAAGACTTCCTGACCCAGTATGGATTGAAAAGATCAAGTGCAGATCCTTGTATTTGCTTTTGTCAATTTGCTTTTGCATGAGAAGAACATTATAATTGAAGTTTATGTTGATGACCTCCTGATAGTTGGAAACATGCCAGAGAAAAATGAATTTAAGGAAAGCATCAAGAAAAGGTTCAATATCAAGGACCTAGATCCTGCAAGCCAGATCTTATTCGTGCGAATATGCAAAGAACAAAATGGATCATACACACTAGATCAAATCGTTTATGTATCAGAAATAGAAGAAACGTTTAAAATGACTGAAGCAAAATGTGCATCCACGCCATTGGACCCCAGCATAAAATATAAGAAGGTAGATTAACAACAATGGGAGGAAATCAAAGAAAATAGCAAGGAAATCCCTTACAGACAAGCTATAGGAAGTCTCCTTTATCTGACTTGTAGTACTCGTCCAGACATGGCTTATTCTTCCACCTACATGAGCCAGTTTAATGAAGAACACTGGAGAGGTGTGAAGCACATTCTAAGATACCTAAAGGTGACACAACACAGAAAGTTGAGATTCCAGAAGACAGGTGAGCCACTTCAAGGTCTGCTCAGATGCAGACTGGGGTGCTGACAGAACTAACCGTAAATCTTACAGTGGTTATATAATGCTACTCGCAGGTGCTCCAATCTCATGTTCGAGCAAGAAGCAATCCACAGCAACTTTATCGTTGGCAGAAGATGAGTATGTGGCGATGTGTGACACTGCCAAGTAAATCCTAGGGATTAAAAATTTGGTCAAGGCAATCTGTAGTGAATTAGCTGCTTCACCTCAAAAGTGTTAGTCGACAACCAGGGAGCAATCTTCTGAGCCAAGAACCATGTTACTTCTGAAAGAAGTAAGTACATCGATATTAAATTTCATTTTCTGAGAGACCTAGTGAAAGAAAATGTGATTGTATTTGACCATGGGCCATTCAGCGACAATCTTGCTGATCTCCTAATGCAATAGCAGCTGCATTGTTCTTCTGTAAATGTGTACAACCACAGCGTGATTAATTTTTTATAGACGTATGTAAATATCTTGCATATAGTGTGATTGGCAAGAAGTGTGTTAAAAAAAATAAGATATGTGTGCCAATTCCAATATTTATTTTATGTTAGTTGGCAGCAGTAGTGTTGTTCTCGTTTCGTCCCTATCTGGTGTGCATTGCTGTAGTTGCTTGTTTCCATGTAACCTAAATATTCCCAATATATATTTGATTTTTCAACCTGGACTATGTTACTTCTTTAACCCACGATTAATTCAAATGTTAACAATGACAAGCCTAATGACGAAAATAACGCAACGCCGCAAAATACTACTCTCAGGAGAACAGAAATTAGCAAACACTATCTCCTTTCTACTTCATTTCAATACCACGTGAGGTAGAAATTTACATGCTGGCAGGAAAATGGAAATGAGGAGATTAGAAAAGTGAATTTTGTGTAAAATAACTGGCTAAAGAACTGAAGGAGACCTTACAAACTTCTTTAGAATCCTTTAGAACTATAGGCAAATTTTCTATATTCCACGTCTATCTTTTATCGAATTCTATAAAAGTTTAAACATAGCTTCATTAGAAGCTTTAAAGAGATACGTGTATATATTCTATGGTGATTTAAGTAAAGATTCCGTAAACAGTTTTGCAATTGCTAAAGGTCTCATGCACACAATCTAATGTAATATGTATAGAACTCGTAGTATGGTTTTGTTTTGTTTTCCAATGTAAAAATACCGCTTAAAAGTAACCCTTACGAAAATCTCTTCTAGAATCCTATGAAAAAAATCCAGTACAAAACTTCTTTAGAATTCTGTAGAATTATGGTGATTTCTGCGTAAGCCTGGTTAAAGATTTTTTTGTAGAACATCACAAAATATTATATTTAGTTTCTATAGAATTATATATAAAAATTCTATAGACATATGTATAAATATTCGATACACATTTGTACAAAGGCACCCTAAGAATTCGTGCAGAATTTCTAAACGCATAGAATCTTATTTAAATTATGCAGAATTAATTAATAGAATTCTACTGAAAATATCAGATCCAGTTTATGGAGAATTCTTCCGGAATTCCAAACACGTTTCCTTGCTCTAAGCTGACTCTTTTGTCTCATACAGATACCCAGATGTAAAAATCAATGTCTTGTGTGATAAGCAAAGGTTCAAAACAAAGTAAATGTACATTACATTTATTTCAGAGTGATGCAATTGCAATCGACTGAAATATTATGATGTCTCAGCTGAAAAAAATAAAATCTTGTTCTCGACGAAACATTTTGATTTACTCATCACATAAAAGGAGCTTTGAAAAGGACAAACAAATATTTAACTACTATTTCGAGAATGTTACAGCCTTTATGTATTCCTTATTTTGGGCTGCAAAATTAGCAGATGGGCTAGAAGGTCCGAATGTGCATTTTTATATGACCGTTCCGGCAGAAACGTAACTTACTAAAAGTATGAAAAGTACTGAAAGTACTATTCGGTAAATAAAAAGTGTTACGTTTCGCTCACTAGCGGAACACCTGGCGCTGTCTAATGAGAGAAAGACACACTTTAAACTGAATTCCTAATAACAATACTTAATGCCCTCTCTCTGTCCAGATTGCTGAATTTGTAACTACAGAGCTGAGTTTGTAATCATTTACATTTCCCATGACAAACAATTTGTCTTTCTAATCTCTGATCCTTTCTCCGAGTAATCTTCTCTGCTGTTTCAATATCACTGAGCAACGGCCTTTCACATTTTGAAGCTTATATAAACTCAAATTTAATTTAAATAATTTTAGGACATATATTGATAAAAAGTGAAATATTTGTTTTTGTGTGAAAAGAAAATCAGAGCAAATTAATAGGGCTATGCAGATCACACTCGCTGGGCCAAAAATCATTAATTGATATATTTTTTAAAATTGTAAACATATTTTATGTTTTCACGTGAGTTGGGCTTTATATCTTATAAATTCGTCATTGAATGTAATGCTAATATATGACAAACAAGAGGAAGGACCAAACGTCAATGAAAATATATATGTTACTGATTTATTCATTGTTTTCCCCTATTTTATAGGATAACCTCGGAACCAGTTCCCTTAAGCAGGCAGGCCATTCATATCAACGCACTTCTAGCCACGTGCCAGAATCCGACAAATTTTCACGGCTTCAATTTGGCAGAGAGTCTCAAACAGCAAGTGGAGAGCATAGCCCGAAACCAAAAACGAACTTTCATCAATCCGGTTGTATACCTGGCGTTGTGCCTGATGGATCAAGAATTGTCTATAGACACCATTGATATCCTTAGACGGATGATTAGACCTTCTGAACCTTTCGACGAGGAAGCGAAAGGTAATGGCTTCTTTCTTTAACATCGTAACAGGTGTAAACACCGCAGCAAAAATATTGAGGACGAAAACGTCGTGGAAAAAGCAAAACAAGGCGAAAATATCTTCGTCCAAAATAAAGCGGTTCAGAAAAATCGTGGTTTTAAAACATTGCCGTAAAAAATAAAGAGCATCTACAAATCATCGCTTGACGATAATATCGCAGACGTGTTTTTCACGCTTTAAAAGTTGCAAATTCATATGTAAAGATGAGTAATATTTTTACACTCATATTTCATATTTTTGGAATAATTAATAATTTTTTTCCTAAAAAAGGAAGAAGAAAACTTTATCATTCAAAAGCTGAAAATGGTTTGGTTTATAGATTACGGCAAAGCACTCGAGGGCTATCTGCCTTAAGGGAGGGATGCCTTCTTGGAGGATTTTTTAAGGGAAACTGGCTCGTATACACGTTACACATGGAGAAAACCACGAAAACACCCATGCAGCCAGCCCGTTCGCGGGATTTGAACCTCAGACCGAACTACTAGTGTTCAGCGACGTTACCGCTCGGTCGCTGGTGGGCAGCTGAATATGAATAGAACATTAATGCTACGTACAGTATGCAATTAATGCTACGTAGTTCATATAATTTCAAATTTATGTACTTAAGCAGGCAGGCCTATAAAAGCCATTATAGGCCTGCCTAAAAGCCATTATTTAATAACCTCTTTTATAAAGTTCCATTGTCAGCTTTTTAGGAAAAATATAGTCTAAAAATTTAGGAAAGGGAAGCTGGATAATTGCATGAAGTTACCTGTATTAAAATTGTTTAAGCAGTTATTAAAGTGTAAAAATATTAACGCAAACTGATTCGTTTTCACATCATTCATTTAGAACTCAAATTTAAAATTATACCTAGAAAATGTAAATGCAGACATTTTTCAGGAAGAGTATATAATTACAGTGAATCCTTTGGGCGACTATCTTCCTAAGACGGCTTGTGTTTCGAGAACATAAATAAAGATAGGTATCAAAAATACCTCTATAAGATGACCACATCCACGAAGACTATAAATATATGGAATCGTCAATGGTTAAAGAGGATTTTTTTATATTTAATTGTTTTTATAATTAATTATGAAATATCATTACATTTTTTAGCTTTGCTTAAACTTACGTAACATAGAGTGAACCGTCTTTCTTAGACGACCACATATAAATGTAGCCAGTATAGCTGCGAAATTTTGACATTAAATTTCTTCTTTCTAAGACGACCAGCGTCATAGAAGGGTAAATCATTTAGAACCGTAAATGGTCGTGTTCATGGAGGTAGGAAGTAAGATGGTGTGTTGGTGTATTTAATTATTGCAAAGCACACTAGGCTATCTGCCTAAGGGGAGGAATGCCTTCGTGGAGGACTTTTTAAGGGAAACTGGCTCGTATACACGTTACATATGCGGGAAGTAAGATGGAGTGGCTCTAATCGGTTTCCCCGCTTTGAATCACTGACGATCCCTTCGTTGGTGACCGAAACAATGGGTAATTTACCATTAAGTTCAATTGGTTTTGACACGATCTGATGTAAATGTTTTGTAATTACGTCGTAAATATACATATAAATGTATATATTCTCAAATATGACATGATTTTTTAGCTTCTAAAGGCATCTTTTAAATAGAAAAATATAAGTCAATTTATAATTAATGCTGTATTTGGTCCATTTCAAATTACAGCACCTTTTTATTTTAATAGCAAAATACTTTAAATAGTACTTAACTTTCTTTGAATATTTCTGAAAGGGAATAAAATAAGGATTTTTTTAAGTATTATTTAAAACTTATTATTATAAAATGTAAGGGAAATAATTCTTTTAATTACACTTATCAAATTTTTTTACCCTTAATTTCAGCAATACGTATTCCAAAACTCTTCTTTATTACTTTCTTAAGTACGCATCTCGTAGAATTTGCTTTACAATACCTTTTAACAGATTGCTTTCTAGTACGAACAATTCTTGCTCAAATAGTTTTATAACGTATTTGTCAACAGGGCTTCAATTTATGTTTACAATTCAATGTTAAGGTATATGTGTTATGTAAGGTATTATCAATATTTAGATAATATTTATAATCATTATAAATTGACCGCACATGGTACTTCCGCCGAATTCGTGAATGTATCCGTCTTCTGTTCTACACATTTGTGTAAACCTGTACATAATTTTACACAAATGTGTGGTTACAAATGAAGGAAAAGTTAACTTACTGGCATATCTGTGTGTATATTATTAATTTTGACGATGACTGCAGCATTTGGTGGTAATTTTATTTTTATTAACACTTATATTTTAATAACTTATATTTTAATAAGTAAAACGTGTAACCCAAAGTGATTATTTTTCAGATATATAAAAATAAAATGATTAGTTTTAAAATGAGCTATAGTAAAGCCTCTCCTATAAAAAAAGTTTAAAAAAATATATATTACAATAATATGTGGATGTGAAAAATATTTATTTTATTTAAAACATTTTGTAAACATAAAATAAAAGTAGCGAATACTCTATCAAGGGTATCGAAAGATGTGCACAATTTTAAAGGAACCGTAAGGAATTTTTTTTCATTCTTTAAGCATAACATTTTTACTAAAATCTATATTTTTGTAGTTCGACAGCTTAGTATTTTATAAAACAAATTCATAATCAAAATCGCTGTTGTTAGTTATCGAAAAATAACTAAGATGTGATTTTTGCTTAAATGTCAATAACTATACAAATTGTCACTAAACAATACTATTATCCACCACACCATGAATATTTTTTTTTATGCGGAAGTGTCCCGTTTTTTCGATTTGCATGGAACTTTAGTGTGTCGAAATACTACCAGACCACTGTCAAGTGAGCTTCTGAATGTAAACAAAAAAAAAAAAAAAAAAAAAACACCCCATCTGGTGACCGAAGCTTCGGAGCAGTGCTTCACTTCTAGTGCCGGTTTGATCACTCCTTCCTATCTTACCCATGGTCGTCTTAGAGACAGTGCTCAGTGCGTCTAGCTTTAACATTTGGGTAATTTATTTCTTTTAGTAAGTATTAAATTTTAATTTCTTTTTGTTTGAAACATTTTTATTTATTTATTGTTCTTTCTTGATACATAGTGAATCATTTCCTAGTAACGTCCTCTGAAAGGGACCAATAATTAGTTTATTGTGAAAGATATTTCATATGTTATTAGGCAGGTATTTTATTACGGCTTCTACTAAATTGCTGAGGAATTATCACTGAGAACAGCTTCGGTGAGAACAGGAGTAATTATCGCTTAGTTGCTTCAATGAGGACATTTTGAGGAAAATTGCATCATATTAATAATTAGAATAAAAATACTGGTCGTAGTCTTTTATTTCCTAAGATCATGTATTTTGCTTGGAATTTCTAACATATTTTATTTTTTTCCGAGAATACATTTTTTGAGGTAATTTTCCAAAATAATTTTTCGGCGACATTTTTCCGAACACCGTGCCTAATAACACAACTTTTCTGAACGGTAACCTTTCACAAAATATTTTTAGATGCCTACTTATCCGTATTTTCAATCATCTGAGGTAATCCACATTGTCTGGGTAAGTCGGCATTCCACTCTATGTAACAAAAACTTGATTACACAAAACTAAATTATCGCAAAAACCTATATAAAATATTTATCGGGTCAGACAATAACTTAAATTAATTAATTCAACAATGAACAACGAACAAATAATTTTGATATTTATGATAATTTTCTCCATAATTTAATAGTATTTTAAATTATTCACCCAAGGTGAACATTTCTTTGGCGTCATCAATGTCTCTGTTCTATTCTTCATCATTGTCTTGGTCTAGTTTAGAAATTAAATATTATGGCCATTGTTTAGCGTAAGGGAATCAAACTTCTTATAATTTTATTTTCTAACAGGTGTAACACTTTCTGAAATATAAGAACTGCCAGACGACACTGAAAGTTAGATTTCGTTATTTGTCAATTTTTTTTTTCCTAAGTTGGAATTGCCAAAATGTGAAAATTTTCATCATTTAAAACACTTCTGTAATTGGAACTATATGACTATAATCAAGAACTGCGAAAATAAAGGATGGGTAAAGACTTTGAAGCCCGGTAAGGGAGTGAGTATATATATATATATTTATATACATTCTTGATACATATATATATTTGGTACTACCGATTGTAACAAAAGTGGGCAGAGCAGAATTATATATTAGCAGTCCCAAACACAAAATTCCAAAGTCCTACGGCTAATCGTTTTTGAATTATGCGAGATACATAGATGCATACATAAGTGCGTACAAACGTCATGAAAAATACCCTTTGAATTCGTTTTTGAAAAGAGAGTCCTTTATTCTATCCGTGAGTACAAACGTACAGACGTCCATCGAATAGACGTAAATCGTCCAAATTGACTCGGAAACGGTCAAAATGGATATTTCCATGGAAATATCATAACTGAAATTTCTCGCGATTACAATATTTCCTTTACTTCGTACAAGAAAGTAAAAAAATTCGTCTAATGCAAAATTTGAACATTTATGTAAAATTATTATTTAAAAAAATGCACAGAGAACCCGTTCTAAAACGGCCATTTACAGTTCTGAATAATTTACCCTTCTATAAAAATAATCTTCTTAGAAAGATGAGATTTAATGCGTTTCACAGCTACACTGGTCACTTTTAGAAGTGGTCGTCTGAGAAACAGGGTTATATTATAAAAGTTCAAACAATAACTAAAAATGTTTCGACAAAATTAATAATATTTTTAACTTATTTATAAAAATGTCTAAATATAATGTTAAATATAAAATATCTTGTTTAACCATTGACGGTTCCATACATTTTTAGTCTTCTGTGGATGTAGTTATCTTGCACAGTTATTGTTTAATAACTATCTTTACCTATGTTTTTGAAACACTGGCCGTCGTAGGAAGGTATTCGCCAAGAGAATTTACTGTAATTATATATACTTTCTGAGGGAAAA